TCTGCTACACATGTTGTCCTAGTAAGTGGGTTCAATCTGTGCTATTATTCCTCCTAAGTGACGTAAGCTGATTTAAGTTTCGTTCAGTGGTGTTGTGGCCGGTTTAATTGGTTGTAATTTGAGTCGCTATGTAGGTTCTTTTACCGTGGTTTTTGGTACATTGCTAAATATTTGAACTCCTGAACAAATAAGCTCTACTTCCTATGTACATTCTACTTTCTACTTCCTATGTACATTCTACTTTCTGAACATATGTTTATGGCCTTTGCTTGATCGGTTGGCCTGTTCTTGGGCATTTTCCAACATATTTTGGTGAAATCATAAAATTTTCCCTGCGCCACAGGCTATTAGTATTAGAAAGCGATGCTTGAAGGGTTCAGTGTCAACAATATAACGATGGGTCTCCCTCTTCCTCACAGTATTGAGCTTCAAGAGTACGAGAACTTCGGCACGGCGTGTATCTTCAAGCACCTGGTGCTCATGTTCCCTGTTCAGCATTTCAACAGCTTGACCGCGGTGCTGTTCAAGTCCTTCATCAACACGCTCACCTCACTCACCTGCAGCATCGGGCGACTGGCAGCTCAGGAAGAGTCGGTGAGTCTCCTTGAAGGGTTTTTGAATGTCTTTAGTTTTAGTAAGGTTTTATGCTGCTCGCAGCTGCATGAGGTCATATGAACGTCAAGGGGTGGATGTCAACAGAGAAGTCCAAATGGGGAATCAGGCTTACTCTGCTCTCCTCTATAGCTTCAACAGCACAAAGTCTGCTTCGACTATCAAGGCACTTCGGAAATGGCGGGTCACAAGAGAGTGACAAACGTGAAGAAGTAGAGGAAATGACGATAGTAAGGATGAGGAAAAAAAAAGCAGCAGTTCCCCCCATGTTGTTCCTGCACTGTATGATCATGACATTGATAAATCAGCCCATTTACAATTGCACTATGCATAAGAACATGTTAATATCTCTCCTTTGGGAATGGCCTAAAGACACTTCAGTCAGTAGCACTGTATTTACAGTCCCATCAACACACATAAGATTGTTTAGGAGGTGGGCTTCCAACTCTGCCTGTCGGAGGTAACCTTGGCTGAGAGCGATACAACTTCCCAGCAGAAGACAGAGATACTGGAGAAAGATTTTTTCCTCACTCGGGAATCAAACTCGGGTCTTGTGCTTATGGCAGCTGCACCACTGACGTCGGTATTCTGTGAGGGACTTTTTGTGTACGCTTTAGTCCTTTAGGAAAAAGATAAAATATTCCTTCCAGTCGAAGAAATTGATAGTGTGCTTTGAATGAATGTCTTACATACCTTGTTCTTAGGCAGTCTAGCAGCTCAAGAACATTTCATGAGTGACTTGCTCCCTTTTATCCCTGAAGAAAAGATAAGACATCCTTTACTGACCTGCCATTTGAATGAATGTCTTGTTAGCGTCGATCACTAAAATTACTGTTTGAACCCCCAGAAGAAGACCATGATAGTGTTATCTAAAAAATATTTCACTTTCAAGTCAGTTTGATCTGAGAGTTCTATTGAGTTTTTTGCCGTTACCTTTTGTTGCTAGAGGGAGTCAAATATGAGGCAATATTTCTTTGTTCTTTTGAATCTTGCACGATTTTGAAATTTCATAACTAAATATGGAGGCTTAATCTTTCAATTGTGTTTTTATTGAAAGTGTATTTGATCTGTTGTGCGTTCAGCTACACAAAGACGACACGATCTACATGGAGTCGTACGAGAAGCTCCTGGAGTCGTGGATGTGCCTTATCCGTGATACGAGCTCACTGCCCCCCGGCACACTGGTCAGCCCCGCCACGGAAATCTTCAACTCCTACATGCAGTGCCACCTGGCCGCTCCCGAGGGCATCCGGAACACCGTGAGTGAAAGAACAACACAAATTGTTTTATTATGAAAGAAAACAGTATTTTTATGCACCCATGGACACAATTTTGATCATTTACGAGGTTGTTTTCTGTACAGAACATTACAGCTTTTCTTTGAATAGAGTGAGAAATAATTTTTTGATGATGACAGTAAATTACTGTCTCTGTCTTCCTCTCTCCCCCTTTCTCCCTATAGTTTTACTATTTTACTAATTTTACATTGATCAGAAAACTAAAAATATGCCTTAACAAAAAGGTGTAATTTTAACTGCTTTTTAAACATTGGAGTCTTTATTATATCTGAGTAAGTCATTCCACGTCAGCAGACAATAAGAAAAGATTTTACTGTTTTTTACACAACTTCCAACTCCCCAGGGTGGTGACAACTCAGAAGAGGACATAGATGAGACAGACGAAGACGACAGATTCAAGTTCTCTGACCAGCTGTGCTGCATCGGATCTCTGGGGCGCATCATTCCGAATCACTCGGTGCCTCTCTTGTCGAGGTAAGACATATCATGAGGTGGGGTTATCATTCCGAATCACTCGGTGACTCTCTCTTGTGGCTTAGAGGCAAAGTTGTTCGCCTCTCATTCAAAAGTCGCGGGTTCGAATCCATGTTATAATGTAGGCTCACTTGTGTCCAAGGATGATCAACAATCAACATTTAGAAGCTCAGTGACAGTTTGAGTGGAATAAATTGAGGTGGTTTTTAAAAAATATTTATTATTTTGATTGTACTTGTTTGATTATCTATTGTTTTTGCTTTTTTTTTTACCTGGTAAAATGGTCCTGGAGATGATGATTCGAAAGATGGACTTTCTTTTCCAGTTGATTCTATTAATGTTATTGCAAAATGAAAAGTTATCACTGCAGCCTTAGGTTCTGCTATTGTTCATATTTGCTATGAGGTAGGAATATCTGCCTTTTGTTTTCATAGTTATACATCTTATGAGTTTTGATCAGTATCACATTCTAGTATTTAGACGTGCATTTAATTTGCTTATTACTCAGGATAGAAGTTAACAAAGGCTGAACATTTATGATACTCAGCTCTGTAAATGTGAGAAGAATTTTCTCTGAATTGATTTTTCTTGTTCTCGATATGCCAGTTTTTCCTTATTTGGGATGATATGTGTGTTTTTCCTTGTTTGGAATAACATGTGTGTTGTTCCTTGCACAGGATACTGGAGGATCGGGTGTCTCAGTTCAGCGGCCACCTGCAGCGTCTGCAGCAACAGCGCGACATGGTGAGCAGCCACGAGACAACCGTAGATATTAGTTGCCTTCATGCCCTGCATGAAGATCTGCACTGGATTGTCCTAGTCATTGGTGAGTGGCGGTTTTGGACACTTTTCAAAACAGCATATTTGGGGCGTGCTGACAAAATGAGTTACTTCAGGTTTTAGCCTGATGGAAATAGATACGTCAGATTTATAGGTTGGGCTTTTACAATTTATTTAGTATGAAATGATAAAATGTCAAGCTTGAGGAGAATGGCATTGATATAGAATCTATCAATGTGACCTTTGTGTTGATTTTCGGACGATATCTCCATTCATGAATTGTGAAAAGTAATTCGTTTTGTCAGCATGCCTCACATATGGCAGAGGCTTACACGAAGCAGTCGTTTTGTTGTGCTGAAGGGGCTCTGTTACAAAATAGATTTTTTCCTTTTGCATGAGTGGGTGAAGAGCGCTACTGGTAGGTCCTATTTTTTTTCTTTTTCTGAGTTATTTCTGCTGTTACTATAGCCCTGCGTTAATTGATAATAATGACAATATATCACATTTACATAGTGCTGTATCCCATACGAGTATAAGCTCTGAGCGTTTTACATCGATCACATGATCACCTGCTGTTATGTCAACATGTTTCTCTTTACTCAAACAAACACTGAATGGAGATGCTTGTAGCTTTTCCCCTCTTTGATGTCGGGGTTGCCACGTTGCTGTCTTTGAGGAAATTAGGATTTGTGTTGTGATATTGATAAAGGTTTTGTTAAGATAGTCACATCGCTGACTCGCCAATTTTGAGAGTGGGCCTGCTTCAACGTTTTTGTTTTTTCATATCATCTCACAATCGGTGATTTTGTTTGTGCTCAGGCAATTTCCTGGCGGACTCTGCTGATGGAGAGACGCCCACCATTCCTGCATCAGTGATGAAATACTCCATAGACCAGGCCAAGTCAGTGGACATTAATACCACGCTCAAGATGATGTCTTCACCCGGTCAAAAATTGGAGCCAGCGGAGGAGTCAAGTGTTGATGGAATTATGAGGTTAATTTTACTTCTTTTTATTTTCTTTCTCATTACTCATATGTTGTTTTTTTCTTTCTTTTTTAAATTTCCTGGTTTGTTTTTCTTTAAGCGGAATTTTAAATTTTAATCTAAAAACTACATCGGAGAGGAAAAGGATGGGCGTGAGGGGGTGGTCACTGTAAGTCATAAGCTGTTTACTTTGTCTGGTTTAAGTTTTATATTTGTGCTATTGTTAATTTCTAGTGGAATATTCCTTTTTACAGTAAGTTCTGTCTACTTGTGCCCAGGGCTAGGTGGACCTTACTTTTCCTGACGAATTTTGATCTCTTAGGTATGTTTCTCATCTCTCGATGTACTCTTTGAAATGTGTGGTATCTGTGTATGTGTTGTAAATGTTAGGCTTTTCACGTTCTGGTCAACAGACCTGACTTCGATTCCCATCCAGGGGAGGTACTTTATTTAGTGTCTTCTCTGTCTTCTGGGATCTGTTAGACACACTCCTGTCAGTGTGGCCTATGCAGACTGGGTCAAAGCTGCTCTGGTGTGGTTTGCTCCTTCTTTCCTATCAAACATCTATTGTCCTGATCTCTCCTTTTTTGTGTTTCTAATCTTTGGCACTTGTATGACCTTATTGTGTTGTAAGTGCTGTAAAACCCTTAATAAAACATTAGTTCTTTATGAGTTTGTTGTATTTCCCAGGCTGATCACGGCTGTGTTGTATTTCCTGGTCTAATCACTGCTGTGTTATATTTCTCAGGTTGATCACTGCTGTGTTGTATTTCTCAGGCTAATCACGGCTGTGTTCCGGCTGTGTGAGGTAGAGAACCGAGCCGTGGAGGCGAAGCTGTCTGAGTTCCTGAGTCCCCAGGTGGGCAGCACGGTCATGTGGTTCCTGGAGAGATGGTCGGACGCCTACCTCCTGCACGACGAGATGGACTACACAGAGGTGAGCCTCTCTTTTCTCGCCGTATACTATGGGCGAAAATTTATCCCATGGGTAAAAGTTTTGGCGGAGAATGGCTTTGCATTGTACTAAGAACTGAAAAGTCTTTCTTCTTCTTCTCTCAACTGTCTATATTTTGCTGAAGAAAATTTAGGGTTAGAATGGCTTTGCATTTTTACTAAGAACCGAGAAGTCTTCTACTGCTCTAAGTGTGTGCTAGGTTGTATATATTCTGATCCATGTTGCTTTTCTTGCAGATGAGTCTGGCTCTGGCGACGGCCTTTGGCGCGGACACTGATGGGGTGCGGTGGACCATGAACTTCGTCTTGCAGAAGATCTTCACCACGCTGTCAGTGTGGGGCTCGGAGCCCGCCCTGGTCAGCGACACGCTCGAGCTGCTCATCGACATGGCAGAACAAAGTTCAAGGTCGGTCACCTGTCGTTTTGCTATCGTAGTTGGAGTCTCTTTAGTCTTTTTCTGTTTCGTTGTTTTAAGAGTTGTATTCTATTTTAAAAAATGTTTTGGAGTGCATTTCTTTTGGTGTGATTGTAGGTCAAGATGCAAAATTTGCACTTCAAATTATAAACATTTGTGTCACAATTTGGTTCTTTCTTTTGTTGTTTAAGTGTGTTTTCTGGTTTAAAAAAAAATTGTATGCTCTTCTGTAAACTGACCGCGTGTACTTTTGTATTGGTGTGTTGGTAGGTTGGTGTGTACATTTATGTTGGTGTGCCGGCAGGTCCGTGTACCTGAGTCAGTCCGAAGTGCTGTGGAGCCTGGCGCGTCTGGAGATGAACCAGGAACCCCCGGTGGCCACCCTGTCCCCCGAGGCCCGCCGGCAGTTCATGAAGGCCATGGTGCTGGCAGGCTGTGGCATCAAGGACTCCTCGCAGGAGGAGCAGTACTGGAAACTGGTGGGTGTCTGTAGTGTCGCTTGTTCGTAGTGGTGGGTGTCTGTAGTGTCACTTGTTTGTAGTGGTGGGTGTCTGTAGTGTCACTTGTTTGTAGTGGTGGGTGTCTGTAGTGTCGCTTGTTTGTAGTGGTGGGTGCCTGTAGTGTCACTTGTTTGTAGTGGAAACTGGTGGGTGTGGCTTGTTTCCATGAGTTACAAATAGTTCAAGGTTTGTTGAATGGTAGCCAGTGGGGATCATATGTTTTTTCTTACTCCCCCCCCCCCTCCCCGCACTAAATGACCATTGTTGTGTTGATATACTTTTGCTTACTCCAAACTCAAACTGTTATCTCTATGTGGGCGGACTGTTGCTATTTTATTCACACAATTGCTATGGGTTTTTTTTCTTCCAGTTATTGCAGTCGAACCACGAGCGGTTCTTGCACCTGGTAGAGTCCCCGGACTTCAAGGCGGGCAAAGAAGGCTGCAGGCAACAGTTCCTCTACCTCCTCGAGTCACTCATCGGCGTGGCCACCGCCACACAGAACTCCATCACAAAGGAAATGTTCCAGGTGCGTCTTCCTCGTGTCTTCTCACCTGTCCATGTCAACGCTGTTGTGTCTTCGTATCTCACCTATCCATGTCAATGCTGTTGTGTCTTCGTATCTCACCTGTCCATGTCAAAGGTGTTGTGTCTTCGTATCTCACCTGTCCATGTCAACGCTGTTGTGTCTTCGTATCTCACCTGTCCATGTCAATGCTGTTGTGTCTTCGTATCTCACCTGTCCATGTCAAAGGTGTTGTGTCTTCGTATCTCACCTGTCCATGTCAACGCTGTTGTGCCCTGATTGTGTGTTCCTACAGTCAAACCTGCTCCAACGGCCACTCGTCTAACACAATCACCTGTACAAAGGATCTCTTTCCCATTTCCCCCTTTTTTTCCCCCCACATAATGACACTGTACAAGACATCCAGCTTCTGCCTCAGACAACCACGTATCTCCTCGACAATTGGTAGATGTCTTAGACAATTTAGACTGTACCTCTAATTTTCGGCACCTATATGACCTTATTGTGTTTCAAGTGCCGTAAAACGTTTATTAAAACTATAAAACAAAAAATTGTGCCCCCCCTGCCCTTTGCTCGCTGATGCTGACATGTTGTGTTTTGCTTCCTGTCCGCAGTTCATGGGTCCCATGTTGGCCCACGTCGTCACGGCCATAGACATCCACCATAACTACGACGACATCGTCACCACAAGTTTCGAGTTGTTTTCTGAAGTTGTTGCCAAAATGCTCACATTCCTTAACACTGTAAGTACATCGTTTGTTTACTGTGTGCCTCCCACCCCACCCCACTCTCCCTAACTGATTTTGAAACTTGAGTTAGTGTGGTATTTACAGATTTTATTCTAGGTTAGACTTAACGTGGGTGGTTGGCGGGTGCTCTGGTATGGTTTGCTTCTTCTTTCCTATCAAACATCTATCGTCCCTGTCTCTCCTGTTCCAACCATCTTTTTGTGTATGTTACTGTTTTGCAACACCTCTAATCTTTGGCACTTATATGACCTTATTGTGTTACAAGTGCTGTAAAACACTTATTAAAACTAAAGCAGACTTTTAACACACAACAGTTGATTTTGTTTGACATTGATCCTTCTATTTAAAAAGATCTTTCACTTAAGTGGTCACTGTGTCGTAGGAACATAACATAGCTTTCTGTTCCAGTGAATGAGCTCTCTGTTACTGAATCGGAGGGATTTGAAGGAAACAACTTTTTTGTTATGAAATAACATGTTCTTGTCTAATTTTTTTATCTTTTGTCTTTTGTTCGAAAACCATGTGTCATGGTCATGATAATTTGATATAATGATGTTTAGCAAAATTTTCCTCTTATGTACCATAAGTTTGTTGTGTTGAAGGCCACACTAATTGCTGTCTTGAGGTGAAGTGAGCAACGTTGGAAAACCGTCCCTTTTCTGGAAAATTTGTGTTTTGCCCATTCTGAGGAGTTTGTTCCACGTTTGAGGAGCTTTCCCTCCTGCGTTTCAACATACCACAAAATGGTTGTTTTTCTCCTCAGGCTGTTACCATCTTTTATTGATATTTTGTAAGGAGAAAAACTCTTATTTAGAATCTTGTCATCTTGTTCAAAATAATGGGAGTTATTGGGGAGTTGATTTTTATTTTGTTTTTCTTTTCACAGGCTGATTCACAAACTTTGTACAAACTTTGCCTGTCCGCCATTCAGATGTTTGCTAAGCACAATACAGGTAATGTGTGCCGCACAGGCTCTGGGTGTCCTTACTTACAGCAAAGATTGTTCATAACAAGATAGTTCACTCCTCTCTTTGAGCCAAGTAAAAAAAGTGTCCTCAAAATCTGGTGGCACCCTCTTCAAAAAAGTGCAGACTTTGCGAACAGTTACCCTCCTTGTGTGAAAAACAATAAAAGTGAAACTAACAAACTGTGCTATTCCTATTCTTCTTGTAGAGAAATGCACGAACTTCCGCGGACACTTTTTTGGCTGAGTGAACTATCTTGTTTTGTACGATCTTTGCTTACAGACTCTTGGGTCTTATTTGATATTCAATAACTTCAGCGTAACGATCTGATTGATAATACAGGTGTTGACAGGTTGATCACAATCTTGGAAAATCCACCAAGTCAAGTATTTCTATATTATTTACTTTGGTTTATTCCCATTTTGAATTACTGAAGCTCTTTCTGTGTAAAGTAGGATTTTCTGATATTCACCAGTTTGTGCCCAACATTTTTTGGTTGCTTATCTGTACTAACAGTATGGGGGGGGGGGTCAAGATCAGGCACCACTGCTAGGTCCTACTTCTTTTCTTTGTTATTTCTCTCCATCTGTCTTTTCCCCCTGCTCTAAATGACATTATTGGGTCGCTATGGAGTTCTTTGAGCAAACATACAAGTACTGTCCTCACTTGCAATACCCCCGGGGCGGTGCCACTGACTTAAGTGTCTTTAGGCCATTCCCAAAGGGGGGGACATATCTCGTTCAAGCACAGTAGAATTGTAAATGGGCTGATTCATGTCACGCTCCTAACTGTGCCTGATCTACAACAGGGAACTGCTGATTTTTCTTTCCTGATCCTTACTATTGTCATTTTCCTCTTCTTCTTTTGTATGTTTGTCACTCCTTTGTGACCTGCTATTTTGGGGTGCCTTGATAGTCGAAGCAGACCTTGTGCTGTTGAAGCTAGAGAGGTGAGCAGTCTAAGTCTGATTCCCTGTAAAGACTTCTCTGTTGACACCCACCCCTTGGCGCTCATATGACCTTATGCAGTTGCGAGCGCCATAAAACCCTCTGCTATAAAAAAAAAAACAACTTGCAATACATATCCGTAATGATATGTGACCCATGGGTGGTTGGAGGATGTTACTGGTTGGTCCTGCTCCTTCTGTTTCCCTCCATTGTTTCTCACTGTGAGTGTATCCGTGTGCTTCTCTTTACTCAAGCGATCTCTGATCTTGTTCCAGGTCGTCAATGCGTTAGTGCCGAAGACGAACAAGAAACCAAGTTCAAAGACATAATTCTCATCATGGAAATGTTGGCCAATCTCATGACCAAGGACATTCTGGACTTCAGTAAAGGTAGGCGGGCGGGACAGTCTGTTTAATTAATGACTCATGACTCTGGCGAACTGTTCACATGTACTCAGCCTATATAACAACATTTTGTCAGGAGAGAGAAAAAACTTTCATTCTTTTCACAAATTATTATACCTACATTATGTACCTTTTTTTGCTTTTTTCTTCAACATTTAGAATTTATTTTAAATTGGACAAAAACACATTATCCTGTCATTCAGTGGGTGGTTTGTGATTGCTCTAGCGTCGTTTGCTCCTTCTTTCCTGTCAAACATCTATCATCCTTAATATCTCCTGCTTTTACGTGTTTGTTTCTCTGTCGTAGCACCTCTAATCTTCAGCACTTCTATGACCTAAATATGTTACAAGTGCCGTAAGCTCTTACTACAATAAACAAGACTTGCATGAAGCTGTCATTGTGTGCCCGTTTTCCCCCACAGTGGAGGGACAGGTGAACGGCGACCACGCTGTGGACGGTGCCGATGTGGTCATCTACGGCCTGGAGCTCATAGTTCCCCTCATGAGTGCAGAAATGCTCAAGGTGAGGCCGCTCTCGCTCTTTGGCTGTGGGTGGTGGGAGGGTGTTCTGCTGTGGTTTGCTCCTTCTTTCCTATCGAACATCTATCATCTTTATCTCCCCTTCTTCTTTTTTGTTACTCCGTTGTAACACCTCATTTTTGAGTGTGCTTATGTTTTTCTGTGTGTTTGTGTGCATTTTTCCGTGCGCGTGTGTGTGTGTGTGTGTGTTAGAGAAAGAGAGAAACAGACAGACGAACAGGAAGACAGACAGGCAGACAGAGTAGGCCAGTGTGTGTGTATACATTAACTGCCGTATTTCTCAAGGTATGATGTTCAGGGAAGAAGTAATGCTAATACATGTTCTGTTCTTCCCTCCCGTCCCTCCCCTGGTGCAGTTCCCCGTGCTGTGCAGCAGCTACTTCCGTCTCATCTCCTTCCTGGCCGACATCCACTCGGACAAGTTCTGCCAGCTGCCCCAACAACTCTTCAACAGTATCATGGCTTCTATAGAGCTCGGATTCTCCTGGTATCCTTTTTTAATGGTTGGGGGGAGGGGGGGGGCATGTCAGCTGTGATGTGGGGGAGGGTAAACTTTAACACATACACACATGCACACATACAGACACACACATACATGTACACCCACACTCACACTCATGTGCACGCCTATGCACACTCCCATGCACACACAGAGAAACATACATACATGCACACACCCACTCACTCACAGGCACTTACACAAGCTCGCATGCACACACACACACGCGCACACACACACACACACACAAACCCACACACACATTGTGGGTGGTTGGCGGGAGCTGTGATGTGGTTTGGTTCTTCCTATCGAACATCTATATCGCCCTTATCTCTCCTCCTTCTTTTCTTTGTATGTTACTCTCTAGTAACGCTTCTAATCTTTGGCACTTGTATCACCTATTTATGTCGCAAGTGCCGTTAAACCTTAATAAGTACTAAATAGAATAAAATTGTTGATAAAAGTAAATCACACACACACACACACACACATACACACACGTCTTTGCGCACTTTGATGGCCTCAGCCTGCTGTTTTTAGTTACTGTAGGACACAGCTGTGACCCCACTGTGAACCCACCATGACCCCACTGTGAGCCCACAATGACCCCACTGTGAGCCCACTGTGACCCCACAATGACCCCACAATGACCCCACTGTGACCCCAGACCTGCACACCAGTTCCTGTCTGTTCCCAATGAGAGGATGGAGGCTCCTGTTGTACTGTTACAAAAAATGGTTTACTGTAACTTTTCCTGAACTGTATCTCTCTGACAGTCCGTTGCTTGGGACCACTGTTGAATGTTTCAAAACGCTGTCTTCGGTCGCTAAATACGCCAACTTCCTCGATGCTAGTATGAGTTTTGAGACATGGGTAAATCTTTCTTTTGAGAGTTCAACGTTGGTGCATTTGCCCATTTGACAAGTTTCTTTTTTTATTGAAACTAATTTCTTTAAAAATAGAAAATTAAGTTAAAAAAAGAAGGGCCATTTACGAGCCTCTTTAATTTTCTTTCCTTTGTGTTTATTGACTTTGTTTTGCTACTGTTTGTTGAACTTTTGCCTGGTGACGTTTTTTACGTACGCATTTAGAACGTTAAGTTCTTTGACAATTTTCATATTGTTTAATTTCCTATGAAGCTATATGTACAGGGTACCTTACAGATGTAGAGATAAGAGGTGGGTGGTTGGCGGGTGCTCTGGTGTGGTTTGCTCCTTTTTTCCTATCAGACATTTATTATCCATTAACCCTTTGCCATCATATTTTGGAGAAAATCCAAAGAAAGTGGGTGGTAAACATCGCCAATCGGCGAGATGAGGCGGCAAAGAGTTAAATCCCTCCTCTAATTTTCTTTGTATGTTACGTTCTTGTAACACCCCTAATCTTCGTTACTTTTGTAATATGGCCAAATTGTTTTGCAAGTGCCCTAAAACTTTTATTAAAACAAACTACTAACACAAAACTGAACTAACCGTGATTGTTTCTTTTGGCGAAGTGCATTACCTGAAAACTGTGTTGGGGAGCAGTGGTTAGTGTATGTCTCTGCCTTGTTTGCTTTCTGTTTTGGTTAGGTATTGCAAAGTCCTAGCAGGTTGTGGGTGGTTGGAGGGTGACACTATCAGTAGGTCCTACTTCTATACTTTCCCTCTGTTGTTTTTGCCTGTCTTACTTTTTTCCCAGCTCTAAATGACAATTTTTGTGCCGATGTGCTTCTCTTTACTCAAACAAACAAACACACCCCACCCAGCTTTTCCCTCCCCAACTCTCTCTGATCCCCCCCCTTTCAATCACACTTGTTCATCCTTACACATGAAGCCTCTAACATTCTTTCATTTTATACAAAAAGAAACAAGAATTTATTACATTAGAGTGGCTGGGGGGTGTTCTGGATATGCCACTTTTTAGTAACACCTCTAATCTTTCGCAGGTAGATGACCTATTTATTTTGCAAATGCCGCAAATCTTGTAGTAAAAGTGAACTAATGTTACCAATGTGACTTTGGTATGTCGGTGGCCTAGTGGTTAGGCTCTCGGACTCGCAACCGTAAGGTTGTGGGTACGAATCTCGTCAGGGGCCCGACGTTGTGTCCTTGAGAAAGGCGCTTTGCACAAATTTTCCTCTCTTCACCCTGGTGGAAATGGGTACCCGGCTATAGACAGTGAACGATCTTGTCAGTTTGATAGTGTTTGAGCTCGTGAAATCCGCAGCTTGCACTGTATGCTTCTGCGGAAGTCGAGAATGTTTCTGAGTGTTCTCAAAGGGTATGCTGGGGTAATGATAGTTATAAAGCGCATAGATAATGCTCTTGAGCATGGATATGCTCTATATAAATACAATTATTATAATTATTATGTCTTACTATGCCCATGGGTTTTGTTTGTGTCTTTTATAATGGCGTATTAGTGTAGTGGTCTGGCCCTTCACTGTCTCACCAAGGAGACGCGAGTTCTCCCGAGAGGGAATACATTTGTATGGAGTATCTCAGTCTCTCGGCTGGGCTGTTAGAGGCAGTGGTTGAAGCCTTCCTTGTAAATGAAATTATCTAAATTGTGTCGATTTCGGGAAGGGGGAGGGGGGGGGGGGGTAAAAATGCCTACGTTGCCAAAATGTAAACTGTTGTGCTTCTTCTTTCCTATCGAACATCTATTGTCCTTATCTCCTCTTCTTCTTTTTTATGTTTGTTACTCTTTTGTAACACCTCTAATCTGCTGGCGCTCATATGACCTTATGCAGTTGCGAGCGCCATAATACCTCTACCTAAAAAGAAAACTGTTGTGCCTGTTGTTATGGCCTTAACGGTTGGCGTAGCTGTGGGGTAGATGTGTCAAGGATGCTGTTCGAGTCCATCCTGGTCACTGCCTCTCATTCCTTTCAGAACAGCCAAACCACTCAGCATTTGCAGCCCACGCTGGCCCACTTCCTCAAGGTAAGGAGCTCTTGAAGCTAATTGTTGCATTAGAATGTCTGGATGTCGTGGAAACTCATGTCTACATTATGAGGAAACTTTGATGTCAGGATTTCTTTTTATAGAGGCTTCCTTCACCCCACCCGCAAAACAAGTATTGACCAAAGATACTCAGATCTACTTTTCTGTGTTTTGAATTTTTGATATGTGTGTGTGTGTGTGTGTGAGAGAGAGAGAGAGAGAGAGTAAAATAGAGAGAGAGAGCGAGTGTGTAAAATTATAGAGTGTAAAACAGAGACAGACAGACAGACTCTCTCCAGGTAACCAAATATTGAGGTTGACATTTGTTCGCCCACACACCTCCATGTGTGTTGTTAATGATGAAACTGGCTTTGTTTGAACTTGCTTTTTGTTGTTAGTTTTTTCGTCCATAGAAAAAAACCAGCGCTGTTTCATAATACATTGCTGTTAAGCAGTGCTTCCACTCTTCCGTATTTTACGGAAATCTGTACTTTCTGCCAGTTCCGTACTTGTTCCTCCATCATTATCAACTCCCTCCGTAAAAAGCTGCGACAGCGAAGGACTACCGAAATTTCGTAGCAAAAGATCTGTACTCGCCTCCATATCGTCTAGTACTAGTATAAGTTACGGATATTTACGGTAATTCTCTCGGCAATAAGTTAATGTTATAGAGACCTGCCAGATTGCGCTTTTCCTGCAATCGGCCATTATTCCGCTATGCCCCATGCTTTCATTGCGGGTTGGTTGCCAGTACATTTTTACCTGTGGATTGATAAAAATCTGGCAAACTTTTTGTGCTTCGCCCCCTCTTCCCCCACCAGGACGCATAGGCCCCCAGACTCCCCCAGCAGAATTTTCCTTACTTTTCAGCTTCAGCTGGTGGAAGCACTGATTACAGATTTTACGTCATTGTTATATCTTGTTGAGTGGTTGGTGGGTGCTCTGGTGTGATTTGCTTCTTCTTTCCTATCAAACATCTATATCTCTGCTCTTTTTTTGTATTTATTGCTCTCTTGTAACACCTCTATTCTTCGGCACGTAAATGACCTTATTGTGTTGCAAGTTCCGTGAAACACTCACTAAAACTAAACGTTTGGGTGGTTGGCGGGTGATCTGGTGTGGTTTGCTTCTTCTTTCTTATCAAACATCAATCGTCCTTATCTCCCGTTCTTCTTTTTTATGTTTGCTACTCTCTTGTAACATATCTAATCTTCTGGCGCTCATATGACCTTATGCAGTTGCGAGCACCATAAAACCTCTACTAAAGCTAAACTTTGTGTCTTGTTCACTTTGCCCTGGACCAGCTGATCTTTCGGATGTTGCTCCTGGACAACTTTGACCTGAGCCTGCAGGAGATTGGCAGCACCACCTTGTTCTGTTTGATCTGTTGTAACCAGGTGAGTGTGGTGGGGGGGCAGCACCTTGTTCTGTTTGATCTGTTGTAACCAGGTGAGTG